TGGGTCAAATATTTCTTTTTTTTTTTTTTCCCCTTTTTTTTTTATTTGAAACGGAGTCTCACTCTGTCGCCCAGGCTGGAGTGCAGTGGCATGATCTCAGCTCACTGCAATCTCCACCTCCCAGGTTCAAGTGATTCTCCTGCCTCAGCTTCCTGAGTAGCTGGGACTATAGGTGCGCACCACCACACCGGGCTAATTTTTGTATTTTTAGTAGAGATGGGGTTTCGCCATATTGGTCTTGAACTCCTGACCTCGTGATTCACCCGCCTTGGTCTCCCAAAGTGCTGGGATTACAGGCGTGAGCCACCGTGCCCTGCCTGGGTCAAATATTTCTTTTTTAGATCTTTGAGGAATTGCCACACTGCCTTCCACAAGGGCTGAACTAATTTACACTCTCACCAACAGTATATTGAATTTCTTTTTCTTCACTACCTCGCAAGCATCTCGTATTTTTTTGACTTTTTAAGAGTAGCCATTCTGACTATATGAGATGGTATCTCATTGTGGTTTTTATTTGCATTTCTCTAATGATCAGTGATGCTTTTTTTTTCTGTTTTTTGTTTTTTTTTTTGAGACAGTCTCCCACTGTCGCCAGGCTGGAGTACGGTGGCACAATCTTGGCTCACTGCAACCTCCACCTCCTGGGTTCAAGCGATTCTCCTGCCTCAGCCCCCCAGGTAGCTGGGACTACAGGCGCACGCCACCAGGCCCGGCTAATTTTTGTATTTTTAGTAGAGACGGGGTTTCCCCGTGTTGGCCAGGATGGTCTTGACCTCTTGATCCTCCTGCCTCGGCCTCCCAAAGTGCTGGGATTACAGGCCTGAGCCACAGCACCCTTCCCAATACCATTATAATAGTTGGAAAGATTGGAGAGAATGATAGGGAAGGGAAGAATGGAATAGATTGGGAAAAGGGAAGGAAATCAGGGGTTCAATTTTGAATATATTAGGCTTGATACATGTGTGAAACTTTTAAGTACAGAGGGAAGGTATGAAGTTAAATGTGTGCATTCATGGTTCAGAGGTGAGTTCTAGCCAAGAGATAAAGCAAAAAGATTATATATTAAATTATTGGATGAGTCTTGGTGCATTGGCTCACGCCTGTAATCCCAACAATTTGGGAAGCCAAGGCAGGAGGATGGCTTGAGCCTAGGAGTTCAAGACCAGCCTGGGCAACAGAGGGAGACCCCGTCTCTATTAAAAGTAAAAAAAATTGGCTGGGTGTGGTAGTGCACACCTATAGTCCCATCTACTTGGAAGGCTGAGGCAGGAGGATTTCTTGAGCCCAGGATTTTGAGACTGCAGTGAGCCATGATTGCACCACTGTACTCCAGCCTGGGTGACAGAGCGAGACCATTTCTAAAAAAAATAAAATAAGATAAAATAAAATCCTAGGATGAGCAATATAGGCAGACAAGAGAAGACAGCCCAGGACTGAACTCTAAAGAATCTCAACATTTAGGGATTTGTTAAAAGAGGAGGCAGAGCCAGTAAAGGAGACTGAAGTAGGAAGTAAGTGAAATCAAATGTATTGGTTTCACTTACTATCAAATGTATTGGTTTCAATTCCTATGAAGTAGGAAGTAAGTGAAATCAAATGTATTGGTTATCTACTGCTGCGTAATGAATGACCCTGAATTTACCAGCTTAATGTTTACTATCTCACAGCTCCTGTGGGTCGGAAATCTGAGAGTGATTATTTGGGTGGTTCTGGCTTAGGGTACCTTGAAGTTGCACTCCAGCCTGGGTGACATAGGGAGACTGTCTCTAAAAATAAATAAATAAATAAGTCATTTTAAAAATCTCATTTAAGAGTTTATCTATCTACGTAGAAACAGAAGAATCAACCTCAAAATGATACTGATCTGCGTTTGTATTGAGTGGCCACATTATTGGCAATTTTTAGACCATTTTTTCCTTTGCTGTTCTGTATTTTCCAAAATTTCTACAATAAAAATTACTTTTATAATATTAATGTCAAAAAAACTTTTAAAAATGTAGACCATTGAATTTTATTTGAATTGTGTAAGATAATGAAGACCTAAAAACTGAGAGGTTTTGTTTTTGTTTTTGTTTTTCAGACGGCATCTCACCCTGTTGCCCAGGCTAAAGTGCAGTGGCACGATCTCAGCTTACTGCAACCTCCACCTCCCGGGTTCAAGCGATTCTCCTGCATCTGCCTCCCAAGTAGCTGGAATTACAGGCATGCACCACCACGCCTAGCTAATTTTTGTATTTTAAGTAGAGTCGAGGTTTTACCATGTTGGCCAGGCTGGTCTGAAATTCCTGACCTCAGGTGATCTGCCCACCTCAGCCTCCCAAAGTGCTGGGATTACAGGCGTGAGCCACCGCGCCCAGCAAGAGTTTGTGTGTGTGTGTATGGTTCTTGCAAATCAAGTGTAAAAGCTCTCATTTAATAAGAAGAATAAGGATGGGTATGGTGGTTCATGCCTGTAATCCCATCACTTTAGGAAGCCGAATTGGGAGGATTACTTACACCCAGAGTTTGAACTGTATGAGCCACTGTATTCCAACCTGGGTGACAGAGAGAGAACCTGCCTCTAAAAAATATATACATACATATATACATAATAAAATATCCATTACTAAATCACAATCTTGATAAGCCTAATTATAAACTGCTGCTAGGAGAATATTTGCTTCCAGAGAGAATCTTTTAGATTTGTTTTTGTGGGATTTTGGGGTTTTTTTTTCCTAGAGTGCTCGAGAGCCCTCTTTTAGCTGCATGAATCTTCTGTCAAGCAATGAAGGGGAGTACTTGGTTCAACAAGAGGAAAACATATATAAAATTGTTTGCTTCCATTTAAAGGGAACCTTTATACTGAATTCCAACCAACTGTGATAGTTAGGCCTAAAAATGGCTTAATCCTTTGCAAGACAGTTATTTTCAAAATTCTATTTGTCATATTAGGGTCTGGCTAGTTAAGTTAAAAGCACCACTGGCTGATTTCTTAAGTTCAATTTTAGAGAGTATAAGAAAAGCACAGACCTGACTTTGTGTTTCTAGTATTTGTGCCATTATTTTTTTAATCTACATTATTAAGCTTAACTTTGTACTGTAATGAGGTTAATTTCTGCCCACACAAGCCCATCCAGTAGCTTTTCCTAAACACATTCGTTCTCCGTTATATATTCCAGGGAGATATTTCTGTCAATGGCATGTGAGATGATCTATTGACCCCATGATGAGATGCTTACTGCTTGAAAACAAACTCATTCACATGCTTAAAAATTGCTCAGGAGCAGGAACTGTACAAATATTTATTGTTAATGGCCATTTATAATTTATTTATAGAGATCTAGCTGACAACCATCTGCTGCATAAAACTGAAAACTGGAAGAAAAAAAGAGTAAAAGTCACTGGAAAAATATAATTTAGTCTCCATATGTCTTTGATACATAATTCAATTTATTACTTGCTAGTGGTATGAGATGGTTTGTAATAATAGATACATATATGAAATTTAACACAAAGGGAAATTGAAATTTTACTCAAAAGTGTATGTTGAAGGACAAAGTGAAGACAATAGTAATAATACAGTAATTAGCAAATGTATATTGGCAAAGATAGTATAAACTGGATTGTGATAACGACTCCAAAATACATAATGGCTTACACGCAATAGAAGCTTTTTCTCAAACAGTCCAAGATAATTGAATTAGGTTGGTAAGTATTTTCTCCATGCAGTGATTCAGGGCCCCAAGCCATCTTGTGACTCCACGGGTAGAACTCAGGGGTCTACCAATTCCCAAAGAATCCATGGATAGAATTCAGAGCTGTCACTACAATTTGTTGTTGTTTTTAATTCAATAGTTTTTTAGGTGGTTTTTGGTTACATGGATGAATTCTTCAGTGGTGAATTCTGAGATTTTAGTGCACCCATCACCCAACCAGTGTACACAGTACCCAGTATGTAGTCTTGTATCCCTCATAACCTCTCCCAACCTCCCAGAGATGTCACTATATTTGTATGGAAAAAATTACATCCCTGTTGGAGCCAGGCATGGTATCTCATGCCTGTAATCCCAGCACTTTGGGAGGACGAGGCGGGCACATCAACTGAGGTCAGGAATTCGAGACCAGCCTGGCCAACATGGTGAAACCCCGTCTATACTAAAAATACAAAAAAATTAGCGGGGCATGGTGATAGGCACCTGTAATCCCAGCTACTCGGGAGGCTGAGGCAGGAGAATTATTTGAACCCAGGAGGCAGAGGTTGCAGTGAACCGAGATCGCACCACTGCACTCCAGCCTGGGCAACAAGTACATCCTTGTTAGCTTCAAACTAAAATTTATCATTTCCCCTAATTATGAATGTAGGCAAAACCACAGAAGTATTACCAGTACTTACGACTTTGAAACAAATAAAAATCACCGATTTTTAAAAAATCATTACTGTTAGGCCAGGCATGGTGGCTCACGCCTGTAATCCCAGCACTTTGGGAGGCCAAAGCAGGCAGATCACAAGGTGAGGAGTTCGAGACTAGCCTGACCAATATGGTGAAACCCTGTCCCTACTAAAAATACAAAAATTAGCTGGGTGTGGTGGCGCATGCCTATAGTCCCAGCTATTTGGGAGGCTGAGACGGAAGAACTGCTTGAACTCGGGAGGTAGAGGTTGCAGTGAGCTGAGATGGCGCCACTGCACTCCAGCCTAGGCAACAGAGCCACAGCAAGACTCCGTTGCAGGAAAAAAAAAAAAAATTACTGTTTTGCAGATCTTTCAAAGAATCATTTCTACTTGGAATGCTTTCAAAATTATAGCAGTTGTATACCCACCTCTAGATCCTCTACTTTAATATATTTTTTAAAAAGCATGTTATCGTTAGAAACCTTTACGTTAGCTCCCAGTGATCCTGGTTTCCTGGCATTCATACCCTTGTGTAATCCCCTTCCAGGAACAGAATATGGCAGAAATGATAGGATGTTATTTCTGAGATTAAGTGTACTGAATCTAGATTCTGTACCCTCTCTTGGAGCACTTGCTGCAGGGGAAGTGAACTGCCATGTCCTGAGATAACGAGAGTTTGGGGAGAGAGATGCCATAAGTCTGTGGAGAGGTCAATATGACAAAGAACTGAAGCTTGCCAAGAGCCATTTGAGTGAGCTTGGAAGTGGATCTTTCCCCAGGTAATGCCTCCAGATGACTGCCTACTTAGTTGGCATCTTGATTGTAGCCTTGTGAGATACCCTGAACCCCAACCACCCAGCTAAGCTGGTCCCAGATTCCTGACCCCCAGGAATGTGAGAGAATAAATATTTTAAGCTACTAAGGTTTGAGATAATTTCTTATATATCAATAGAGAGCTAGTATATACATATATCGCATCACTAACTTTTTTTTTTTGAGACAGAGTTTAGCTCTCGTTGCCCAGACTGGAGTGCAATGGTGCAGTCAGTCTCGGCTCACTGCAGCCTTTGCCTCCCAGGTTCAAGTGATTCTCCCTGCCTCAGCCTCCTGAGTAGCTGGGATTACAGACACCCGCCACCATGCCCAGCTAATGTTTTTTGTATTTTTAGTAGGGATGGGGTTTCGCCATGTTGGCCAAGCTGGTCCCAAACTTCTGACCTCAGGTGATCACCCACCTCGGCCTCCCAATGTGCTGGGATTACAGGCATGAGCCACTGCACCCAGCCCATATCACTAACTTTGTAAATGTTTTTAGAATTGTATTCAATATAATTTATTTCCTTTTTAATTCCATTATTTTATTTTATGCATTTTAAAACATTATTTTGCCAGGCTTATGCCTCTAATCAAAACCATGCAGGAGGCTGAGGCAGGAGGATTACTTGAGACCAGGAGTTTGAGACCAGCCTGAGAAACATAGTGAGACTGTCTCTAAAACAATAAAAATAAAAATTTTTTAAATGATAAATAAAATGTTAGTCTGAGAAGGAATGCAGAGCGTTCTTCAGTGTGCCAAACAATCCATGCATGGTACAAATAAGATTAACCCTTCCTGGCCAGGTGCGGTGGCTCACATACATAATCCAGCACTTTGGGAGGCCAAGGTGGGCAGATCATGAGGTCAGGAGTTTGAGATCAGCCTGGCCAATATGGTGAAACCCCATCTCTACTAAAAATACAAAAGTTAGTTGGGCATGGTGGCATGTGCCTGTAGTCCCAGCTACTTGGGAGGCTGAGGCAGAAGAATCGCTTGAATCCGGGAGGCAGACACCTCAAAAAAAAAAAAAAAAAAAAAAAAAACAAGAAAAGATTAACCCTCCCTGTGGCCTCGTTGTTGCCTTGTACTAGCTGGCGAAAGGAGGACAGAACAGGGAGGAGGCATACCTCTTTTTAATATCCGTGACCTAGAAATAGCAGACTTTTCTAATCACATTTGTTGCAATAAACATGGACACATCTGGATGCAATAGAGACTGGCAAATGGAGTTCCTGGGTAAACTGGCATTTGCTCTATATGGCACAAGGACCTATTTTGATAGTACCAGAGCAAATGCCAAAAATGTTAATAAAGCAATGAAAATAATATCTGCCAGAATAGAATCTTAGGGTTTTTTGAAAAATAAACACAAGGAATCAAATTAAAGAAACAGATGCTGATGACATAAAAAATTTTGTGAACTTTTATTCCAAATGATATTTGTAGACCTGAAGATGTGAAGAACTGGTTTGGATTTAGAATCTAGATCAGAAATCAAATTATTCTTTAGTCTTCCTTAAGAATGAATAAATGTTATAAGATTATGAACATAAAGTCTTAATTTTCCTGAAGTCATGGAACAAAGAATGGGATAGGATCCTTGCTGTTTGTTTATTCAGTAAACATTTGCTGAGGGTCTACTGTGTAACAGGGACTGCAGTAAGAACTGGGGAAAATGAGACTGCCAAAAATATGACAAGACCCCTGCAATGGACTGAATGTGTTGCCCCCAAAATTCCTATGTTGAGACCCTAATCTCAACGTGATGGTATTTGGAGGTAGGACCTCTGGGTAGTAATTAGGACATAAGGGTGGGGCACTCTTAAATATATTCCCTTATAAGAAAAGCCCAGATAACTAGCTAGCTTTTGGTAGAATTATTGAAAATGCCCTGTGATGGTTAATGAGTGTCAACTTCATTGGATTAAAGGATGTAAAGTATTGTTCCTGGGTGTGTCTGTGAGGGTGTTGCCAAGGGATATTAACATTTGAGTCAGTGGACTGGGAGAGGCAGACCCACCCTCAAACTTCGTGGACACCATCTAAGCAGCTGCCAACTGGGCTAGAAAAAGCAGGCAGAAGGTGGAAGGAGATGACTTGCTGAGTCTTTGGGCCTTCATCTTTCTCCTGTGCTGGATGCTTCCTGCCCTCAAACATCATACTACAAGTTCTTCAGCTTTTGGACTCTTGGACTTACACCAGTGGTTTTCCAGGGGCTCTTGGGCTTTCAGCCACAGACTGAAGGCTGTACTGTCAGCTTCCTGCTTTTGAGGTTTTGGGACTCAGACTGGCTTCCTTGTTCCTCACCTTGTAGATGACCTATTGTGGGACTTCCTCTTGTGATCCTGTGAGTCAATTCTCCTTAATAAACTCCTCTTCATATATATATGTATACACACACATATATACCATATATGTGTGTGTGTGTGTGTGTATATATATGTGTGTGTGTGTATATATATATCCTATTCGTTCTGTCCCCCTAGAGAACACTGCAGAGAACACTGCATTTATGAAACCACATAAATGGTGGTTTCATAAATTCAGTGTTGTGTGAAAAAATTAGTTATCTTGATGACTAATGACTCCTGGAGAAAAATCAAGACACAGATAAGTTGGGCTGCCAATAGCTCATCAGATGTCTTTGAGACGATGAGGCAAACCTACCCTTTCCTTGAACTTTCTCCCACTTGAGGATACAAGGAGAAGTTGGCAGCCTGCAACCCAGAAGAAGACCCTGACCAGAACTGGACCATGGTGGCACTGGATGTCAACTTTCCAGCCTCCAGAACAGTGAGAAATGTTTCTTTTGTTTGTAAGCCACCCAGCCTATGGCAATTCATTCTATCAACCTGAACTGACAGTCAGCATGTTTCCAGAGATCTTATACTGAGGGGAAGTGGCTCAGCAAAGTAAATCCGTACGGTGATCTCTACTAAGTTCTGTGACATACATAAACAGTGCTAAAAGCCGTGTGCTAACAGCAAAATCATTCACAGTTTTTTAATTTCAACATCATTGGACTAAAACGATAAACTGGAATGTCAGGCTTCAATTGTTAAATAGGGTAGGATTCCTATGGGAATAATTTTTTACGCCTTCCCAGGACCCTGAATCCACAAAGTAAAGCTGTCCCCCAATGTTCACAGAAAGTTTTCAGAAAAGATCTTAGGCCTCTGCTAATGGGGAATGACAAGAAAGACTTGAAAATCCATGATGTGGTTCCATAAATGCAGTGTCATGTGAAAAAACTAGTTATCCTCTGCTCCCTCCAATGTTTACAGGCTGACTCATGACTGATGACTCCTGGGGAAAAATCAAGACACAGGTAAGCTGAGCTGCCAATAGCTCATCAGATGTCTTTGGGAAGATGAGACAAACTTACCCTTTCCTCAGGCTGAGGCATCCCCACGCTTAGGCATGTGGCTTGAAGAGCAGGTGAGCAGAGTGCAGGCTGGAGCTCGGCCCTCTTTGAGCCTTTGGCTATACATTCTGGCACAGCAGTGGCCCTGCCAGAAGCTCCCTGGCAAAGAAACACCTCTCCCCACTGCACCCTTCCTTCCGAGCACCTATTACTTTGTTATTCATCTCTTAGCAACTTGGGATTCCTGGGACTATGTCATTCTTCCTGCTTAGTTGACAGTGTTATACAAGATTATATTCTTTTTCATAATGTTGAGTATTCATTCTTCAGTCAACAAATATTTATTGAAGAATAAATGAGGTATTTGAAGAAATGAAGTATTATACACTTATGATAGATAAATAATAGAAAATTATCTCATTGAAACCCAGGGTCACATCAAGTAACTGGTATAATCTGTATTTCATTGAAACATCACTCTTTGTCATTGCATATTTCAGGAATAAGCAATATGCTTAAGGGAATAAGCAAATGAGTAACCCAGTTCTATTTAAGGAAATATTTGATTTTCAAGAGGTGGTCTTCGAAAAGTTCTGATTGCCTCTCAGGAAAGATAGTAATGCTGGCATTCTGCCCAGGTGATTATATTTTGCCTCTGTGATATATGTATATGTATGTGTATATATATGATAATGTATATCCTCCCTTCACTAAACGGTTTTTAACAGTGGTACTCAAGCCTGTTTTTTTTTTGTTGTTTTTTTTTTTTTTTTTTTTTTGAGACGGAGTCTCGCTTCGTTTCCCAGGCTGGAGTGCAGTGGCGCAATCTCGGCTCACTGCAAGCTCCGCCTCCCAGGTTCACGCCATTCTCCTGCCTCAGCCTCCCGAGTAGCTGGGACTACAGGCGCCCACCACTGCGCCCGGCTAATTTTTTCTATTTTTAGTAGAGACAGGGTTTCACCATGGTCTCGATCTCCTGACCTTGTGATCCGCCCGCCTCGGCCTCCCAAAGTGCTGGGATTACAGGCATGAGCCACCGCGCCCGGCCAAGCCTGTTGTTTTAACGTACTGATGAGTTGTACAGCATTTTCAATGTGACTTACTACCATGTGGGCTGAACTGAGATAGTCCTTCTTCCTTCTTCCAGGAGAGGAAGGGTATTCCCATTCATCCCAGTAATTCTAACAGAGGAAATAGTCCTTGGACCTGCAGCAACAGCGTCATCTGGGGATTTGTTAGCAATGCAAGTTCTCAGACTCCACCATAGAACTACTGAATCAGACATTCTGGGATGAGGCCCAGCATTCCATGGTCTAACAAACCCTCCAGGTGACTGTAATGTACATTTAAGTTTAAGAACCACTGCAGTAGACCCATTTCCTGGTTGATTAAATGGCCCTTATATTGTAAATAAGCAGAATAGTCAAATATTCCTTCACACAATAGGCTAGGGCTGTCATTTGACAGGATCATAGTCATTTTAACAGGAGGAATATGATGAATCTGAAAAGTGGAAACACTATTTGCAATGGCAGTTGTGTGTCCTTATGCAACATGCGGCGGGGAGGCCTTGAGGATTCCACTGATGGAAAGAATTGAGCTGAAATCTGAGCACCTACCATCCTCTTCCTCCTCTCGCCTCCCAACATCTGCATGGAACCACAGCCCTACCCTCTTTCCTTTGGAGCCGGTGAAGCATGGAAAGGGGAAAGTCATTCCCAGCATCCACCAAGGTTTAGAGGTAGTGCCATAAGCAAGTATCTACACCACCAAGTTCTCCAGTAAGGAGGGGCAGAGGCAGCGTGTGGGCCACACACACTGAGTTTGAAAAGTAGCAAAGTTTGAAAAGGAGTTAAGGGGTTATGGGCAAGAGATTAGGTGGCCAGTGGGAGGAGATTGAGAATAAAGCAAACCAGAGATCCTCAAAGACATGAGGCATGTGACTTGAAGAGCAGGTGAGAAGTTGTTGCCTGCCCATACAGTTAAAAGTCGCAAATCCCAGTTCATTCTAATAGATGCAGCTTTAGGAATGATTTTACAGTAAAAATCCACTGCTTAGAATGTCATTATAGTTTGTTCTGGGAAGACAGGTGAAGTGGCACTCCATCCTGGAAAGACAGCTCCACTTTCTGATCAGGCAGGACTTTCTCACTCCCTCTCACACTTCAAGTTGAAAATTCAACAGCCAGCTAAACCAAACGGCCCGCACACAGTTGCATCTGACTGACCATTGTCAACAGTAATGTCTCTTTGTTCTCTGTGAAGTAAGTGGAATAAATGGAGCACTGCCTTAATGCCCTTGCCAACTGAGTACTCAATAGTTCTGTTGTTTAAGGGCTCAACCCCTCCCACTACCCAGAAAGTAATGTGACATCTAGTGACAACCCAAGGTAGACTGGGCACTCTGGAAAGGAGGCATGGCCTGGTTGTTACAATGCTTGTGATATAAGATATTTTTAGGACTAGAATGAAGTGAAGGATATTGAAAATTCCAAAAAAGGCCCAGGCACAGTGACTTATACCTGTAATCCCAGCACTTTGAGAGGCCGAGGAGGGCAGATCACCTGAGGCCGGGAGTTCCAGACCAGCCTGGCCAACATGGTGAAACCCTGTCTCTACTAAAAATACAAAAATTAGCCGGGTATGGTGGTGCATGCCTGTAATTCCAGCTACTTGGGAGGCTGAAGCAGGAGAATTGCTTGAACCTGGGAGGCAGAGGTTGTAGTAAGCCAAGACCATGCCGCTGTACTCCATCCTGGGCAACAGAGCAAGACTCCATCTCAAAAAGGAAAAAAATTAAAATTAGCAGTGCATGGTGGTGCGTGTCTATAATCCTAGCTACCCAGGAGGCTAAGGCAGGAGAATTGCTTGAACCCAGGAGGCAGAGGCTGCAGTGAGCCGAGATTGCGCCACTGCACTCCTGCCTGGGAGACAGAGCGAGAATCCGTCTCAAAAAAAGAGAAAACTCCAAAAAAAGTAATATTCACACGTAAGGTTTAGTCTAGGCTAAATGTTGCCTTAAACCAGGGGTGGGCAAACTATAGCCCATGAGCCAAATTTAGCCTGCAGCCTGTTTTTGTAAATAAAGTTTTACTGGAGCACAGCCAGGCTCATTCATTTGGGTACAATACATGTCTACTTTTGTCATACAACAGCAGAATTGAATAATTGTAATAGAGAACAGATGGCCTGCAAAAGCCTGAAATATTTGCTGTCTGGCCTTTTGCAGAAAGAATATGCTGGACCTGCCTTACACTCAACTGTAACCTTTGGGCTTGGAAGTCACCACAGGCGCTCCATTTTTAGGGCTGTTTGATCAATGCAAGGGCTTAGTTATGTGAACTACTGTTACCCACCAGTAAATGCCCCAATTTTTATCAGAATAAAGTAGAATATCTACCTCTTCTTGTCTATTTTGCTTTTTCTTTAGTTCAAAACCACATTTATCATTCACTTTCCCAAAATGATGAGAAATTTTGCTTATCCCAGTTATATTTAAAGAAATATTTGATTTTTAAGATGCCTCTTTGCCTTTTTTCAACAATGACCCCGCCTTCTCCTTGGCACCTTCAGTTGACAGTTTCTCACTACTTCATACTAGGTGCTCATTTGTCGCCCATCTCCGAGTGACTTTACCATTTTCCTTATCCTCAGCCACTGACAGCCAACGTATTTTTAAAATGCAGTGGCCTGGCCAGGCGCGTTGGCTCACACCTGTAATCCCAGCACTTTGGGAGGCCGAGGCGGGCGGATCACGAGGTCAGGACATAGAGATCATCCTGGCTAACACTGTGAAACCCCGTCTCTACTAAAAAAAATACGAAAAAATTAGCTGGGCGTGGTGGCGGGCGCCTGTAGCCGGGAGTCTGAGGCAGGAGAATGGCGTGAACCTGGGGGTCGGAGCTTGCAGTGAGCTGAGGTCGTGCCACTGCACTCCAGCCTGGGTGACAGAGCGAGACTCAGTCTCAAAAAAAAAAAAAACAGTGGCCTGTGGCACTAACGAGCAACAGTAAAGACCTGCAAGTCCCCTCTGCCCTCAGTCCCTGCTTTGAAATCAAGTGTGGTAAGTCAGCCCACTTCTTACAGTTCAGGCACACAGATGCAGGACTTCGTACACAGGTACCCTTACAAACACACATTGACCCATAGTCTGCAGTTTTTTCTTTACTTCTTTGGGACTAAACTTTTCATTCAAAATGAAGTCTGTTTTATTATTCCATATATCTTAGGGCTTGAATTCTTCCTAGGTGGAAAATGCTGGGAGCTCCAAAAACTTGGCATATTCTGAAAAGAGTGTATTGCAGCCATTTGTTTTCTGCTATTATGGTGGACACGTGGGCCGGCAGCATAAGTAGGCAGGCTTCACATTAGTTTTTGATGTTAAAACTATGTAGGTAGATATTCAAAATACCTGATAAATAATTTTTTAAGAGTGCATACCAGCTGGGCACGGTGGCTCATGCCTGTAATCCCAGTGCTTTGGGAGGCTGAGGTGGGAGAATCACTGAGGCCAGGCGTTCAAGGCAATCCTGGGCAACATAGCAAGACCCCATCTCTACAAAACGTTTTAAAAATTAGGTGGCACACACCTGTAGTCCTAGCTACTTGGGAGGCTGAGGTGGGAGAATTGCTTAAGCCCAAGAGTTGAAGGTTACTGTGAGCTATGATTGTACCACCGCACTCTAGCCTGGGCAACAGAGCAAGACCCTGTCTCTTAAAAGGACAGAGAGAGAGAGTATACTTTTTAAGACTGACCATTTTTATAGGCAATATGGAAAAATGTTGATGTAGAAGATTCCAGATCATTGCCTTCCTAGAGAATTTCAAATCTAGAACTGTTTCTATACTTTTTTGCAGTAAGCCCACAGCTCTCCACTGAATATGTAGAATACTTTAAATGTTGCTAAAATTTAATATAATAGAGGTTCTGCAGAGGCCACTTTTGCCCCTAGTGAAATTCTTGCTAAAACAGACATTATGAAATGGCAGATTATCTTTTCTACATCAAAATCTATGGTGAAGTGGGATATAGCTTCTCACCACTCCAGGCAAGGCACAGGACCAAAATGGCAGAGTACCAGGTAAGTTGGACATTCCTGACCATAAATAAAAAGGAAGATGAAAAGGAGGTGGAAGAGGAGGAGGAGAAGAAGGAGGAAAAGAAACAGAAGTGACATGTTTAAGGACTGTTGTTATATCTTTCTTTTTTTTGGATCTCCTGGTCTCAAGCAATCCTCCTACCTCAGCACCCCCACCGAGTAGCTGGGACTACAGGCATGCACCATGATGCCTGGCTAATTTTTGTATTTTTTGTAGAGATGGAATTTCACCATGTGGCCCAAGCTGGTCTTGAACTCCTGGGCTCAAGCAATCTGCCCACCTTGCCAACCCGAAGTGTTGGAATTACAGACGTGAGCCACCACTCCCAGCCTGTTGTTATATCTTTCCTTTAATGAATTGTCTCTTTATATTTTTTGTTTGTGTCTTTTTCTCTCACTTTTAGAAAAGTTTTTAATATATTAGGCATATTGGACCTTTATGACATATATTGCAAATATTTCCTCCCAGTTTATCAGCCCGACTTTGCTTATGCAATTTTTGCCATGCAAATGGCTTCTTTTGTTATTTTTTATTTTTTGTAGAGACGAGGTTTCACCATACTGCCCAGGCTGGTCTTGAACTCCTAGGCTCAAGTGATCTGCCCACCTTAGCCTCCCAAAGTGTTGGGATTACAGGTGTGAGCCACTGCACCCAACCCTTTCCTTTTTTCTTCTCTTTCTCTCTCCCTCCTTCCCTCCCTTCCTCTCTCTTTCTTTCTTTTCATTCTTTCTCTCTCTTTCTCGTCTTTCTTTCTCTATTCCTTCTTTCTTGCTTGCTTTTCTTCTTTCTTTTCTTTCTTCCTTCTTTCTTTTTTTCTTTTTCTTTTTTCTTTTCTTTCTGTCTTTCTTCTTTCTAAAAGGTTCTCACTCTGTCACCCATGCTGGAGTACAGGGTAGCCGAAGTGATCCTCCTGCCTCAGCTTTCCAAAGTGCTGGGATCACAGGCCTGAGTCATGGCACCTGGCCAGTTTTTATTTTTATGCAATCAAATTTGTCTGTTTTTCTTTCACTGCATCTGGACTTTCAGTCACAATGAGAAAGTCTTTCCCAACACCAAAGATAAAGATGACACCCATGAAATGAAAAATCTTCCCATTTTTTACATTTAGATCTCTGATCCATTTGGACTTTGTTCTTATACATGTGAAATGTAAATCTAATTTTATCTTTTTCCAAATGGTTAACCGGTTGTTTGTTTGTTTGTTTGTTTGTTTTGAGACAGAGTTTTGCTCTTGTTGCCCAGGCTGGAGTGCAGTGGTGCAATCTCAGCTCTCTGCAACCTCCGCCTCCTGGATTCAAGAGAGGTTCTCCTGCCTCAGCCTCCTGAGTAGCTGGGGTTACAGGCGTGTACCACCACACCCAGCTAATTTTTTGTATTTTTAATAGAGACACGGGTTTCTCCATGTTGGTCAGGCTGGTCTCAAACTCCCCACCTCAGGTGATCCACCCACCTCAGCCTCCCAAAGTGCTGGGATTACAGGTGTGAGCTGTTGCACCCGGCCTAACCTGTTGTTTTAACATCATTTATTAAAATTCTTTCTTGGTCCCAGTGACTTGAAATGGTACCTTTATCATTTACAGTACTAAAGTTTCACATGAGCTTGGGTCTTTTTCTAGATTATCTATTTTACTCCACTGGTGTCCCTGCATATTCACGTGCCTGTACCATATAGGTTTAATTATAAAGGTTTTATCGTGTGTTTTCAGTCTGGGAGAGCTAGTGGGCTCATCCCTTCTCATAGATTTTCTTTTTTAGTTTTCTCTGTTTTTGTTTTGGTTTTTAGGGGTTTTTTTTGTTTGTTTTTTTGAGATGGAGTCTTGCTTTGTCGCCCAGGCTGGAGTGCAGTGACACGATCGTGGCTCACTGCAACCTCCGCTTCCCTGGTTCAAGCAGTTCCCCTGCCTCAGCCTCCCGAGTAGCTGGGATTACAGGTGCACACCACCATGCCCGGCTAATTTTTTTGTATTTTTAGTAGAGATGGGGTTTCACCATGTTGGCCAGACGGGTATCAAACTCCTGACCTGAGGCAATCTGCCCGCCTCAGCCTCCCAAAATGCTGGGATTACAGGCATGAGCCACAGCGCCCGGCTAGTGTTCTCTGTTATTACATGTTTATTTTTTCATATGAAGTTAAGTATCAACTTGTCTAGCTTCATGAAAAAAAGTTAGAATTTGAAGCAGGGGTGGAGACTAAGTTAAATTTACAAATTAATTTAGGGAAAACTGACATCTTTATGATGGTAAGCCATCCTATCAAAATATGAGATGTCCTTTCTTTTGTCAAAGTTAATTTTGTCTCTTTTAGCAGAGTTTTAAAGTTTTCCTCATATAGATTTGCACATTTCTTATTAAATGTATCCCTAACATTTTATCTTGTTTGTTGCTATTATAATGAGGATTTTCTCCGTCATTCTGTCTCTAGATGGTTACTTCCTGTGCATGTGAAAGTTACTGATCTCTACATACTGTTGTTATATTCTACTATTCTGTTCAATTGTTTGAATTAATTTTATCATTTTCTAGGGTTTTCCAGGCACACCATCGTATCATCCAAAAGCAGCTAATACATTTTTCGTGGAAATTGTCAAGTTGATTTGAACACTTATATGAAAATGCAGTGAATCTAGAAGAGCCAAAACAAAAAGAAAAACATACTGCTGCCACCTGATTTCAGATTTCACTGTACACCTGATTTCGGATTTCACTGTACACCTGATTTCGGATTTCACTGTACACCTGATTTCGGATTTCACTGTACACCACAGTAGTTCTGATGATGTGCTGTTGGTGTGAGGACAGACAGATCAATGAACAGAATAAACAGCCTGGAGATGACACAGTCACCGAGACAATTAAATGGGGAAAAGAAAGTCTTTTTGAATAAATAGTGCTGAACAACTGGTTACACACATGGAAAGGAAAAAACCTTGATTGATTACTGCTACTTCCTGATCTTTACTGCTCTTTTGTGGTCTTAATTGTATCATCTGTGAAATAATTATGCTGTAGGTCCACAGTTCCTTACCTGTAGATCCAAAACAGAAAATTCTCTAAAAACTACAAGTTTCTTTCTAAGGCTTTTTGTGCCAAAACCCAACCGTACCTAGATTCATTTGGTCACAGACCTGATCTGAAATGATTTGAGGCTACTTGTAGTCTCTATGTAATTTAGTGTAGTCACACATTTCACTGAAAATATACACATTTACTTGATTTCAAGTTGTTACCTAGACCCTGCTGATTGAGTTCCATACTATATAGTATATGCAATATATTACCTAACTAAAATCCAAAAAGTTCTAAATTCATACATATATAAGAATTAAACAATCCATGTAAAGCACTTAATATAGTGTCTGGCACAGAGTAACCCCTCAATATAATATAGGTGGTAATACTGGCCCGGCCCAGTGGCTCACACCTGTAATCCCAGCACTTTGGGAGGCTGAGGTGGGCATTCGAGACCAGCCTGGCCAACATGGTGAAACCCTGTCTCTACTAAAAATCCAAAAATTAGCCAGACATAGTGGCGGTTACCTGTAATCCCAGCTATTTGGGAGGCTGAGGCATGAAAATCGCTTGAACCCAGGAGGCGGAGGTTGCAGTGAGCCGAGATTGCACCACTGTACTCCAGCCTGGGCA